CTGTTTTGTAGGAGTAAATGTCAAGGATGGACTTTTTTTTTTTTTTTACCATTTCCATATTCTACCAAATCATTTTAACCTCAAGAGAAACACATTTGGGAAGGTCTAGAGATGTACTTTGGTTGTTGTAATTTTGGAGAGGTACTTCCAGAATCTAGTGAGTAGAAGTCAGGGATGTTGCTAAGTATCTTAAACTAATCAAGACAAACTCTCTTTCCTCTCACAAAAAACTATATGGTCTAAAATGTCAATAATGAAGAAGTTGGGAACTGATGCATTTCTACTGTTTTGCATACATTCACTTACTTCCTTAAAAGAATTATTATTGGTGGTAAAGGGCAGATTCATGGACACTCTCCCTGCTCCTTCAAAAGTTGCTACATTTTGGACATTCATTTAATCATAAAGACTTAAGGAATTACATACTTATCTGGAAGACTGAAGAACAGATGCTATTTTAATCTTCTGAAAACTGTTTTTCATTAGGTATAATGTAATCTTTAAACTGTAAGTGTAAAGCTAAGTACTGATTATTTAAAGCTAAATGAGACCAAAAGTCCCATGAATAATAAAAAACTTGGTTAATAGAGTATGACCAGAGAATAATGCACTCGGCTTTTGTGGAAAAATTAAAACACATGCTCTGAATTGTTAAGGTAATTTCATGAAAAGTTACTCTGAAGATACCTTGATTCAGAAGAAACAGCATTAGGTACACAATATATCATATTCAGATTTCATCTCTCTTTGCTTTTCATGACTTCTTTCACCTTGGATCATCCAGAAGTTTAGGTCTTGGAACTTTTTGGAACGGTAAGGTATCCTACTCTCCACATTCATTTCCATCTAGTAAGACTTGAATTTTATTGCCAGCCGTCTATCTCTTTTACAGGAATTATTTTCAAACTTCAGGCTTCATATACTTTTAGGGCAGAAACTTTTTATATCTTAAGCATAATTCACTTTGATGAAGAATAGCCTTAGGATGCTATATTCAAATTAAATTGTGTGTGTGTACACACCAGTTCTGGTGGTTGAACTCAGGGCTTAGCACTGCTCCCAAGCTTCTTTTACTCAAGGTTAGCACTTTTTTTTTTTTTTTGGTTGGTCATGGGGCTTGAACTCTGGTCCTGGGCGCTGTCCCTCAGCTCTTCAGCTCAAGGTGAGTGCTCTATCATTTGAGCCAAAGCGCCACTTCCGGGTTTTCTGGTGGTTAATAGGAGATAAGAGTCTCATAGACTTTCCAGCCCCAGCTGCCTTTTGAAGCTGGCATTTGAACCGTGATTCTCCAATCTCAGCCTCCTGAGTAGCAAGGATTATAGGTGTGAGCCACCAATGCCTAGCTTTAAGGTTAGAATTTTTTTTGGGGGGGGGGGTCTGGTCGTGGGGCCTGAACTCTGGGCCTAGGCGCTGTCCCTCAGCTCTTCAGATCAAGGCTAACACTCTACCACTTGAGCTACAGCGCCACTTCTGGCTTTTTTCTTTTTGCTTATGTGGTGCTGAGGAATTGAACCCAGGGCCT